TGTCGGGCCGAGGATCACATGATCCCCCCCCCCCCCCCAAAAAAAAAAAAAAATCAATCACACATTTCTCCCCTGGGCCTCGCTGGCCAACTGTGTCATAGGAATGGCCGGATTATATTGGCGCGAGGTGATCAACATTTAACAGGCAAAAAGCTCAGCCCGTGGGGGTGCAGAGCAGGATAATATATACTTTTAAACCGGTGTAAATTTAATGTTTACACGACAGCTCAATTCAAATTTTTATTGCCAATATGTAACATGTATCAATTTTTTTTTGCAGATCGGACCTGTGGGCCTCTTTTGCATGCGGATAGAAATGGAATATGAATGTGATGCGTGTCCAGTAATTAAGGCTCACCCATACACAACCGACGTAAAGTTGACGTATGTGTTAGTAGGAGTACATCAGCCACGCAGACTGTTTATTTATTACAAACAGCAATAACATGACGTCATCGTCTCCATGAAATGAGGAGATCCAAAAGCCTCGCCTCAAAATATTTCTACCTCCTCCTGCCTCGCTACCCCAGCGATATTAAGATGAGCCTGTTGAAGAGGGAGCATATTTAGTTTCGTAAACACAGTACCATTTATATGCATCTGAGTCACATCACGGATGCGGTGCGTTCACATTAGAAATCGCATTTGTTTTTGCAACGTGAACAGGTACAAACGAAGATAGTATAAGACTAAAAATCCAAATTGGGCAGTGCGAACGGAGCCCAAGTGCAAAGCTGTAAATTACATTATAAATTATACAGTGAATAATAGTACACATATTTACAAATAAAGACAAATAAAAAAGGAGTGTGTTTTTAAAATATAAATCAACAATGGCCCTCCCGCCAACATGAATTCTTCCTAGCAACAACTTGACGAATGTGTGCCAGGATGTGATATCCAAGCGCCACTTCGTCCACTGGCCTTGACGTCATCACAAGTTAGCAAACTTATCTGATGAACCCGACTTCCGACAAGAAAAAGCAGATCGGAAGGGTTGAGCATTCATAACCAATGCAACTTTCAGGGCGCACATGAGAGCAACGGAAGCCATTTTTTTTTTCCAGCTCAGATGATCTAGAGTGGTGAGGACAGACTCGGCCACGATCGCCATGATGTAGAACAAGCAACAAGTTTGGGTAGGATTGCCCCGTAAAATAACATCCATTCGTTTGACAACGAATGACCAATGTCCCCTTTGAAAGTGTGCGTGGAAAACAATTGCTTACATAACAGCTGGCTAGACTGTGTGTCTATCTACAAAGACAAACAAGCATGCGCCGCGGGCGCTTGCAAAAACTCAAATCTGCCAATAGAGAAAGAGGAAGGCTGACATCCACGAAAATAGACACACACACAAATATGTCATGAGCCCCCGAGCTCCACTCCACCTCCAGCTGGGAAGAAATACATGACAAACACAAGACCAGGGTGAGCCAGATGACACGTGGGGAAACCAAAATGTTTGGAGGGGGGGACTAAACGGTCTTACAAAAGGACAAAAGAGCCCCGAGCCCCCCTACCACCATCACAGCCAAGGAAGCTTTGGGCTGAACCTCGCTCACTCTTTCACTTCCTGCACCAGGGTCAGCTTCTTCCTGTGGGCCCGGCCTCTGTTTTGCACACTGTTGTGCTGCAGCTCCTCTTATTCAGAATGTGGTGCGACAAACTTTTATGCTGTATTTTACACGGAAATGAACAACAGAACAGGCAGGAAAGAAAAAGCTGTTAAATGTTGTGAAATTATGAGAAAAACAAAAATTTGGACGGAATCAATTGGTAATGTTGCAAGGGGAAAAAAAATATTATTATTGTGACAATGAAGTCATATTATTCGTGAGGAAAAAAGGCATGTTTTCACTGAGAATTAATCGAATAACCGAATCCCCAAAAAGTTTGGAGCAAAATACTACAGTTGAACGTGAGGATGACGACCCCAAATGGACAAAATAATACCTGTACCTCGCATGCACGTTAGCACGCAAAATACATTTTTATCCGACAACCCAATTAATCGATACAACAATCGGAAAAATTCATTTTACAAACATTCAACAGCGGCAGCTTTTTTTTTTTCCTCTTTTTTTTTTTTTGCTAATTATATTTTGAATACAACGATCCTGCCAATTTGCATCCAATGCCACGTATTTTGAAAAGGCAAACAAGTGAAAGAGTCACGCCGGTTACGAGGGCCGAGTTGAATGTTTCCGTCCTTTCACACGTACTCTCGAGCAGCAACGAGGAGCTGCTGCTCATTTCGCAGCTCGCCGCTCACACTTGAGAGTCACGCGTGGTGTTAGGAACCAAAACATAACACCAAGTTCTCTAGGGCCTTCGTCAGGACCCCGTGGACCGTGTTGGGGGGGAAAAAAAAAAAGGAACAGTAGCAGAACAGGACCACTGATAGCAAGGAAGAAAGCGGCGACGGCAACCATAAGAGCTCAGAAATGTAACTAATTGCGATGCGCGAAGAGCTAGCTGTTAAGTCCTAATGGGAAGTGTCTCACTTCCAAGCCACTGTACTTCAGAAGTCTCCACATTTTATAATTACCTCCTTTTCATACTTGCATTAGAGTTAAAAAGAATGTTAAATCACATGAAACTGATGCGTGCATTGTAATCTGCCCTCTCACCTTATAAGCCCATTAGTGTTGTGATATTGGCCGTCTACATGTGTTGCTTCATCTCACGTGTTCAGATCCCCATTGCGTAAAGGGTTGTAACAACGTGACAATCAATGCTATTTGTTAGCCTGTGTATGTTGCTTTGTATGCCGTGTTAGCAGTGTACTTTTTATGTTAAAATATTACCAAGGTTATGCATACCAACATGCAAAATCCTAATCTTCTGTTTCGTTTTGGAGATTAGATTTAAATTCCTTTTCATCACTCCTCAACTTCGCTGTTTTTGTTGTGTAAATTTAATGTGACAATTGAATTTACCTCGTGAGATGAATTAAGTAGAGTTTTCCACCCTCTATTTAGCCAAGGAAGGCACATATCTGACAATCTCATAAAGATGAAAAAGCATTAAATGGTCTATAGGGCACATTCTATCCAGTCTAGCTCTATCAGGGCTCAGAGCCGCTGACGCGCACGCGACCAGCCAATCACAGCATGCACAGAGCAATGGATGTCCTGTCTCCCTGTTTGTTTGTATAACGGGAAGCCATGGTCGAAAAGCCAAAGCAAAACGGAGTTGGTCCAGAAAAAAAACTCCACCTCCATAGTGTGGACTTGGTTTGGCTTTTCCACAGAGGACAAGGCGCAAACCAAAGTTATACGCAAAGTTTGCAGAGACTCCGTTCGGACGTCAGATGGCAACACAATGAACTTAGGCAAAACGATTTGCTCTTTGATAATAGGCCACAGTTGCACAGTCCTGTTCTTGAAAATGTCATCACATGATGCTCAAGAGACTTCTCGCCTCCCGGGTTTGGTTGCCCGGAGAGGACCACTGCATGGGCATCTTTTGACTGCATTGTCCTGTCCTGTCTTGTCACTGCAATTACAATAACCCTCACATTCCACAATTTTTTCCTCAAGTCTTCGCCCTCCATAAGACGAATAATAGCCCCTCTCAAGATTAGTGGGTTTAATTATTAGCCTGGAATAGACTTTCTCAACAACGAGGAGGCCAACTCAATGCAGGCTGCTTGTGTTGTCGTCATGAGTGCTACCTCTGGATGCACCTCGGGGCACTTTTAATCACGAGCTTTTGCCGCAAAAATCCAAAGAGAACACGAATAAAATACTCTTTTGTTCAATGGGATGTGTGGATCAACAGATAGGCCGGGAAACCAATTCGTACCTGTAGGAAACCTGAGCGGGGAAAAAGACAAATAGAAAATGTATTTCTTTTTCTTAAACGTACTTACCACTCTCCATCTCATTGCCTTTCTTCGCGGTGGGCGTGTTGCCCATGATGGCAGCCTGTCAAGCGGACTCCTGGGGTCTCAGTAGCGACTTGGGGCGGCTTGACGATATATCGCCCTCACAACCGGCCGCAAAACAGTGCTCGATGAAGCTCTCGGTTGCCCACTAGCTGACCGCTATCATTCTCGGCAAACGGCTGGTAAAATATCCCTGCCCCTTTCCGACGGTCACTTTTATCGGGACAACTCTTAAAACCGAGCCTTATGCTACAGTTGGCTAAGCCTAGCACGCTAGCAGGCGCGGCTAAGTATGCGTTAGCGCTGTTAGCTTGTGTCAAACAGTCAACATACAAGACAGTAAACGACTGGTAGTTATGCGGTTGTAGTAATATATCCAAAGGTAGTCCAGGCGCATTAAACGGGTGGTCGACAGCCGTTTTCTCTCCCCCTTAGTTTTTTTAGACTAGCTGCTAGCCTTTTAGCGTCCCCTATAGTCGTACAATGAGTGGCCTTATCAAACCAGCCACTCTGTGTGTGTGGGCAGGCCCCTTCTTCTTCTTTTTCTGTGCAGAAACAAATACGGTATCCAAGTTAATTCCTCGTCCCGCCCGCTGTTTTCTTTCTCAACCACGGTCACTTCGAATCCAGCCAGGCCTAATGCGACGGTACCTCCGTCTCAAAGACAATTCCCAAAATCAACAGAGCCTTGCCATTAATCTTTAGACCGCAAGGGAAACTCCAGTCATCCAGCCAACTGGCACCGCCCCTCCAACGCTTCCGATTGGCTAATTGGAATGACAGGCGTGGAGAATCAAAGGCCGATTGCACGGAACTCTCCGTCACAAGCGTGTGAGGATATGTGATTGGACAATCAGCGAACTGTGTCCCGCCTCTAAGGCCTGCCTGTAGCCAATAGATAGCCCGACTATAACGGCAGCTGTTGTTTTCCACATTTTAATTTATCGCTGTTCGAATTAATCACTCACAAGTCAAACAGACTATCTTAGAATAATCACATTGAAATCGGAGTCGAATTAATGGAAGCATTTCGTGGTGTCAAAACCGCAACTATTGCCCGATCCCTCTGTGAGTGGGCGTGACGTTGACTAGGGCTATTTTTAGCAACTTGAGAAAACATATGGGATTACTCATAAATGTCAAAAAAAACCTTTTGGAATAATTTTAGGTGTGACATTGTTAAAGCATAAACCATGACTCACAACACATATATATACACAAATACATATTTTTATTTGGAACACAAAATAGCACACAAATTAGGAAAAAAAACATGGACTAAGTGACTTATTTTCCCACCAGTGTTAATTGTCAATTTGCACAGCAAATATTGCCATTTATATGCAATTTCAGTGCTGTAATGTTATTAACACGGTACAAATCTGGTGCGTGTATTTGTGTGAGTGGCGGGAAGCGAAGAAGTTGAACCACAGCCAATTCTGTAGAATGGCATCACACTTTTTTTGAAGCGTTTGAAGAAGAAGAGCAGTTATAAGGCAAAAAGAGTCTGTACATTACGACCACGCAATTCCCCCCACTTCACAAAGAAAAGTAAAGAAAAGAAAAGGGACATGACTATAAGCAGTCCATTGAGTTCTCTGGTAGTATTCCCAAGGGCGCGGCTTTGCCAGGAAGACAGGACGGCGGGAGCATGGAGTTGGAAGACGGGTCTACGTTCTCAGAGTCCTCCATCCGTTCGGCACAGCCTTCCCAGTTGATGTGGAACCTGGTGACGCGCGGGTTCGATGCCAGGATGTTTCTCTGGAGCTGGAACAGAAGAACCAGTACCAATATTTCAATTCATTCTTTGCAGCCACCATGTAACCTTTTGGATAGTAAACGAGCATTTTTGGTCAAAGTTGGCCCGACCTGTGCGTAGTCTGGTTTGATGGGAGGATTCTCGCGGAGCTCCTGGTCCGTGTACTCGTTGTTGACATAGTAACCGATCCGGATGAACTCCTGGCCTCGGTACGTGCATGTGATCAGCACGACGGTGACGCCCACAGCGTCACTCTCGGGGATCAGGCCCGTGTTTGGCGCATCTGCCTATCAGAAGAAAAATAAGAAAAACCAAAAAGTTGAGGGTGTAGATGAGGACTGCAGCGTATTTTAAAAATAAATTCTACCAAGTAATCGGATTTAAAAAATTATTTTGAATCATGAAATAATATTTGCATGCGAAGTGTGGTTATGTTTGGCGACTTGGGGTCAACATCCTAACATTGTTCACCATGTTCCAAGTTTATCTCTGTGACTGAGTGTTGTGACTAAGAGGCAGGGCTTGCCTGGTGAGTTACATCGGAGTCAGTAATTTGTGTGCAACATCCTAACATTGTTCACCATGTTCCAAGTTTATTTCTGTGACTGAGTGTTGTGACTTTAAAAGGCAGGGCTTGCCCTGGTGAGTGACATCGGAGTCAGTAAGTTTTTTTGTCCTGGAATAGTTCTAATTATTCAATTAATCGTTGGAGCCCTACACTGGAATAAAACATGATTGCATAATGTCACCTGGAACACAAACATATGTCGTCCAGCAGGTACTGGTCCGACTAGGACGGAGTCCAAGACTTGGTCATACTCTTCGCTCTCTGCTGAGCCCACATATATGATCTTCCACTCCAAGTCTGTAAAAGCACAACAAGGGATTGATGCCACTCAAAAGATGATTAAGAAATCATGACAAGCTGTGCACCTTGTAAAAGCACAACAAGGGATTGATGCCACTCAAAAAAAAGATTAAGAAATCATGACAAGCTGTGCACCGATTATAGAAATGACAGTGATAATCATTTCTGACTGATTTGATTTATTTAATTCCCCCTGATATTCCTTTACAACTGTACATATATTACTAAAGGGAGGCTTTCAGAACATTTTCTCTTGAAAATTTCCCAATATTCATTCTACTTTTTAATATGAATATTATTGTTATGATGAGACTTAGTGTTTCACATAGTGACTGAAATTACTTAATTTGAGAATACTACCATCATCATTATCTATTGTCTTTTTCTGTGTTTAGCAAGCTTTCCAATGATAGCAGTCTTTTGAAAATAGCATAAGATAATGTTATGGACGTTTTAACCTCCATGGACTTTGCATTGAGACGTTAGCCTCGAAATTGGTGCATTTTCACTCCCTTCAATGATAGCTTTCTTATCTGTCACAGAAAAATGATACTAGTTTCATATAAATCAGTTAAATTTTTCAAAATTTGACGCGCATGCCTCACGTGAAACGTCTTGAGAAAGATTATCTGTGTTTTTTCGTGTTAACTCGTGAAAACTACATTAAATAAAGCCAGCTAGCCGTTAGCGGTTAACATTGAAGTGACAACATGTTTGACAGCGTCGCTGCTCACCTTCGGGCAGGTCTTCCATGCACTCAAACGTGATTTCGAACTGGAAGGGGTTCCCAAATGGGCTCGGGTTATCCAGAACGGCCACATTTAGCACTTGTACCTTCGCCATGGTCGTAGGTGCCTGGCTTGTGCTAGTGTTAGCACGGTACTGCTAAGCACTAAAACTGGCGCTTCAAAGACCTTTTCCCGGCAATTCCAAAGAGTTCACTTCACTGTCCGGCAAACCCACACGTCGAATGGATTTTAAAAAACGAAAGAGTTTTGTTTTTACACGACAGAATATACGCAATTCAATCGCATACTACGAACGGGAAAGCGCTCTTTTTTTAAAGACAAAAATGTTTGTAATATGATGTTGTTCGCTCTCCCGCCGCTTTGACGATCTTACCCAAGATGCCCTGCGCCCTACGGAAAGCGACTGAGCTTCCGGTCGCTGGTAACCGGGACAACGTCACCTTGTGGTCAACTGCTAAAGTACACTTAACATACGCAATATAAAGCCATGGCTAAGGACACGCACGCGCACACATAAATATCTATCTATATAAAATGGATAAACCTTTTCCTTTTTCTTCTTCATATGTTTTCTTTAATTTTATTTTTAGACATCAATCATTTAGTTATAATATATTTCTACATACATGGCCATGTATGTTTTAATTGGCTTGATAAGAATTTGATTTCCTCATACTTGATCCTTTTACCCATATAACCGATTGCAACACCATCTGACTACCCACAAATTCGACCTAAATCTGCCTACTTTCCCTTTTTTTTCCTTAAATTTTCTTGTGCCTTCCTTCTGTCGTGAGGGGAGATTAGGTGCGGATTAGGACTCGGTGGTTTTGCTCGGCTGCATGTTTTCATCCCAATAAATATTCCAAGAATGTCACCAACCACTTTTTTTTTGCGGTGTAGGGCGAATATATCCCTGATGGGGGCGCTGTTTGACACAGTCCAATTATTAACGACAAGGGAGGCTGCGAGGTGGTGAGGCTCAAAAGCAGGTTCAGTCAAACATTGCGCTCACACAAGAAGAGACCCAGAGAAAGATGCTTCGTTTAGAGAGCAAAAACACATTCTTTGTAATATCTCACAATAGGTTTCAGTGAGATAGTCGACGCGTTTGTGTTGCAAGTAACTCGAGGCAGCGGAGCTCCACTAATCGGCGTTTGAATTGGACTTTGCACAAAGGAGGATCTGTGCTGGTGGACGAGGGGAAGGAAGCGAGGAAGGTGCGCTCAGGTAATGTAACACCGAGCGGGGTCACGTGATCAACGCTCCAAACTGCTTCCCCTAAAGGGGATGTGAGTGAGCACACCGCTCGTTCCGAAAGCAGGTGTTTTTTCTTCTTATTCTTATTTTCATTCCTATTGGAACGTTTCGATGTACGTCCCCGAAGTCCTTTCGTCCTCGTTCACTTGAAAACAGACCAAGTGATCCAGGTTCGTGCTATTTATTCTATATACATATATTTTAATATGCGTGTTATCACACGGCTAATCACCAAGGCACTATTTAGGGTGACTCACACAAATGTAAATTAACTGCTGTGTCGAAAAAAAAAATCTGTTAAATATACATTTTCCGATGGATTTGGAAGACCGGATTGAACTAATCACCTAAGAGAGAGACGAATTTACCGCTTTGACGTCATGTGGCCGTTTATTATACAATATGGCCGATAAAATGAGTCCGAAATAAATCATTTCAAAACTTTTCCCACCATTAATGTATCTTGTGAACCGTGAACTGCGCTGAATGTGAACGAAAAAAAAAGAACTCTTTTCGAGAGGGGAAGTAAAAGTAAACAACGGTGAGGGTCTGCTGGTGTGGTTGCGTAAGTCTGCACACCTCATAGCTGGCGATGTGGTCGTTTCATCATTAACGATTCATCCATGTTCATGTTAAAAGGGAGTCAGCACTCCGCTACTTCCATTCAAAGTACCTCTGATTAGCCCCCCCCCCAAAAGTTCAGATGTTCTAGTGGGCTTTTCATTACATTTTTGCAGTCACATCTTACAGCACATGCCACGCAGAAGTCTTGAAAATATGTCAATAAGATTTTTGATTTGCGTTATATGGGTTATACGTAGGTCATGTTAATGTTGGAAGAAAGTTTTGAGAAATTATTCCTGTTGGTCTCATTTTTCTGTATGACAAAAACCTGACGTTTGAACAGGGCTGTGTAGATTTTCGATCGCCACTTTAAGTCCTGCTTTTTCCGCAATGCTGCACTCCAGCTATGCGATGTCACAGTAACAACTTTCAAAGAAAACATTCATTTATTGCTGTTATGCACTATGGCACTATGTTGTAATATGGCCTAATACGGCCTGTTTTTAGACTGAAGTTATTGTCTGCCATACTGTATTGTATTGCCAGGAAAATGTTATGATTTCTACTGCTCTGCCTTTATCGTCAATTAATTGCAGGCCATTTTATATTGAGAAGCTGCAGAAATTGAGCTTCACTGCTGTGCTATCGCCACCGCTGTGCTGATGCAGTATTCCTTTGAGTTGATTCATTAGTTGAGTCTTTCACTTCTGTCACAAAAAAAAAAAAAGCAAAGTTGTGGACAATAATTTAAGATTAACATTTGTATTTCAAATTGCACGGTGGTCCATATAAAGTATGACCTTGGTTGCCCTGCCGTAACAGGCTGATTTTAGCTTTGGTGGTTTTGCAGTGATTCAGCTTGACTCACTGCTTGTTCCTTGTCTCTGTTTAAAATAGTCATCGGAAGCACATTGGTCTTGACTTCTAAAGGGAAGATTTGTCATCAGATGGACCCCAGTTGATGCCAGCCAGACCCAGTCCATGTTCGTACTCCTGGCCCGATTCCAGAAATGGACCGGTGGCCTTACATGTCCAACCACGTGCTGGTGAGGGTCGTTCTTCTTCTCCTGGTGCGCTTCGCTAATCATGCCTGGGGTGAGTCACTGGCTTGATGCATCTCTGAATGTGAAATAATAGTAATCCACACAGTTGTATGGCATGGTGCTATAGTGGTTGGCACATATTCTTTGCAGCTCCGTAGCAGGAGGTTCAAGCCTACGCTTGGAACACACACGCACACAACTCATTTTTCCATTCCAGTGTTGTATTGAGTTGAATAATGCTGCGTAGAGTAGCGGTGAAAGTCTCCCTGTAGCTGACATCATGTTTACAATAATATACTTTTCAGGATTAAAACTTAGGTCTTGTTTTTGATAAACTCTTTGGCCTATACCACTAATTTTTTTTTCAATTCTAAGTAATAATGGTGGTATTTGAAGAGCTAAGTCGTTTTTTTTTAGGTGCTACATGGTGTAAAACGTTTGAGAACCTTTATGCTAGGCTTACTATGCTAATAGACTGCATTTCTGGGCAAAAGGTCATTTTCGGGACACACTATAATGCCGTGAGAGAAGTTGAAAGGTGCATATTTTGCTTAGAAACACAGTAGCTTATCAACCCCATAATTAAATTTCTTCTTCTTCTTGGTTTCTGCTCCCTCCCTGCACCCTTATCACGTTGCACTTTTGTCCTTGCTAACCTATTTGCTCTGGTGAATTATTGACTCCATGAGTTGGTGATGTTTTTTTTTTTTTTAGTTTTGTTTTTAGTTTCCCAAAAGTCTCTCTACCAGAAACTGGCAGCTTCTGAACAGACAAATTAGATATACTTTAGATGAGTAGTGTTTGTTTTTTTTTTTTTTTTATCCATACCTCAGCATGTGTTTGATTCAGCTTACTGGATGGTGGCAGCGCACTCCACATTCCTCAGCCTCCTCCTCCTTCTCCCCCACCTCCTCCTCCTCAAAGTGGTTCCTGTGTAGTTTCATGATGTCACTGAGTCATCACATGGGCGCTCACATGGATTTAAAAAAAAAAAAAAAGTCCAGAAAACAGTGCGGGCAGCGCTTATGTGCTTACCCAAGTGAGCAGAATGTGCAGCACTCTCTGTTGTGAGATAAAATGATGCCAGGAGTGCACAATTCACTGCTCGCTATACTCACATTGGTGAATTTCCTCTGTGGAGTGTAAAAAAATGTGCTATTTTGGAAAGGTTACACTCTAAATTCTCCCCCGGGTGTGAATCTTAGCGCAAATGGTTGTTTGTCTGTGTGTGCCCCTGCGATTGGCTGGCAAGCAGTTCAGGGTGTCCCCCGCCTACTGTCCAAAGACAGATGGGATAGGCTCCAGCACGCCCGGGACCCTCGTGAGGATAAGCGAATCAGAAAATGGATGGATGGAGGAATTTAGTTGTTTAGTTAATGGAATCACAGTCTCTCAGGACATTAAGTAGGAGGCCAACATCAACTCCATCCTGAAAAAGGCCCAGCAGAGGATGTACTGTACTTCCTGAAGCTGCTGAGGAAGCACGGCTTGCCACAGGAGCTGCCGAGACAGTTCTACACAGCAGTCATCCAATCAATCCTGTGTTCCTCTATCACAGTTTGGTTTGGGGCCGCCACAAAAAAAGACAACATACGACTGCAACGGACAGTTAGGACTACGGAAAAAAAAAAAAATCATTGTCAGTGTCCTACCCACTCTCGCGAAATGCCTACTGGACCCTACTGCAACGGACAGTTAGGACTACGGAAAAAAAAAATCATTGGCAGTGTCCTATACCCACTCTCGTGAAATGCCAACTGGACCCCTGACACCCTGCTCACCACCTTTTCCAGCAACTCCCTTCAGCTAAGCGCTACTGCACCATGCACACCAAAATCAGCAGACAATCAAACAGCTTCTTCCCTCTCGCCATTAACTCCCAAAACAGTAACTCAAACCTATAGTGGCTCTTTGCATTTTTGCACACCCCCTGTGGAACATTATTACCGCAATGATCATTGCAGCTCTCTGCATATTTGAACAATTGTCATTGATCAATATTCCACAACACCAGACGGTTTAAAGCTCTCAAAGACTTTCTGTATAATCGCACACCTAAAGTTGTACTACAATTATTGCTACTGGTCACTTTTTAAAAAATAGTGCAACGATTATCTGCACCAACTGCACAGCCAATAAAGATGATTCTGATGATTCCGACAGTTCCACTTGGTTTCCACACTTGTTTATCAGTGAGAATGTTGCAGACTTCGATAAAAATGTTACATGGTTTCATTTCCCTTGCCTTAATTTAGTTTTAAAAATATTCCTCCTTTTCTCTCGTCAGGGAATAACACTGTATCGAGGGACTTCAGATCTCAAAATGCTACAGTAAGTGAAGCCCATAATTTTTTTCAATACTACATGACTCTTGTGAAGGCCATTCAGGAAAATGAGGTTTCGGCTTTCTTCTGCATTTTGACTGGCTACGTCCAATTTTGCGTATGAGCTCCACTTGTTACTTTGGGTTGTAGTTGACAAATCTTTTTTTTTTCCATACTTTCTTATTTTCTGCGTGTTTTCTCTCCACTTCCAGGGCCCTAACATCGCGGCCATCGTGGCCCCCACCGTCACGCTGGGCCTCCTTGCCATCATCGCCTTGGCAGTGGCCGGCTGGCTGCTATGTGTGGTGAAGAAGAAGCGGCAGACAGAAGGAGCTTACCGACCCAGCGCCGAGGAGCAGTGCGGCACTCGCAGCGTGGCCACCACCGACATCCTCAAACTCCCCAAGGAGGAAAGACTCATTTGAGGAGCCACTTTTTTGAGGGTGGGGGGATCCCTGTTAAAAAAAACATTCAAAGCGGTCTTCAATCATTTTCCTGTGCACACATGAAAGAGGAGCTCCAGTATTTTCTCACTACCAAATGTTTCATTTTTTTTTCCTGAAGTGGTTTAAAACTTGTTTAGTGATATGGATCGTGCACTATACAGTTAGTCAATACCACTTTTTTTTTTACCTCAGCCAACTGCTCATCACGATTCCATTTTGGTTTGATTAAACAGCTGTTTACACATGTACGACATTTCATCCGATCGACTTATGTCACTGAGTCATCAGTTCAGTTAATTTATGTCTTTGTCCAATAAATATCTGCTGTATTTGTACCACTCGTCTTTCAATTTAAAAATCCTCCTAAAAATTACTAAATCATCTGGAAATTGGGGTCATTTTACATTCAATCAGAACTAATTTATTATTTTGTTCATGAGTTTTAAAATGACATCAATTATAATTCCCGAAAACATTGAGAATTGTTTTATTTTTTTTAATTGTTACATATTTTATATGTATTTTTTATTTGTATATCTCAGAATAATCGGATAATTGATTAATTGGAAACCAAAGACTCAGGGCTAGGGGGTTGTATGTTGGGGTTAAGGGGTAAGGAGGCGCTTGTAACTCAAAAAAACAACTACAAGAAGTCTGCAAGAAAATCGTACCTGAAGAGGCTGGCAGCAAGGATGCTGAAGCCAAGTGGTTATGACTGTCACCTGCCACCAGGGGGACCCTGCTTCAAGACCTCCGTGCCCTCGAGCAAGGCACCAATACCCCTAACTGCAGCAACAGTGAGTTCGCTGTGATGGGTCGAATGCAGAAGTCAAATTTCGTGGATGCACGTGTACATGACCACCCCTAACCCCCCCAAAAAAAAGGACAAAAGTAAAGAGAAAAGGATCTTAAAAGTTATTTAAATGAGACATAAACTGACACATTGCCCCAACTTAAATAATTTCAGAAGGACAGACTCTTACCTGAACTTGGGCTCTTGTTTGCTTGTTTCCATGAGGCTGACTGTCTGCCAGTACACACACACACACACACACACACACACACACACACACACACACACACACACACACACACACACTTTGCATATGCTTGATTCTCCCGTTCTAATCAAAAAGGACGGTGGCAGGTCTAGTCTTTGACCATCTGTAACGTTTCCTAACTTGGAAAAAAAAATGAAGCCAATTTCAAAAAATGCATGAGCAACATGAGTGAATTGTAAATGCAACAAAAAAAGCGGTCAGACATTGAGCACAATGTGTTGGCATTACGTGGGAGAAGATAAGAAATTTGTCACATATCCTGTTAAGGAATGTTACACTGACAAATTCACTCCAGGAATGTACAGGGAGCACGGCCCTCTGCACGTAATCAGAGGTGGGAGGAGGGAGGTGGGTCAAACCATAATTTTAGCACAGCGGGGGATGGGGGGGGGGGGGGAATTCCGAAAATGAATTTGATAGATAAATAAAAATGTGTTGAAGCGTGCATCACAAGACACAATAAAGACAGAGCAACACTCAAAGCGACCTTTGAGAGTGATTTATTAGATGCTTCTCCAATGATAAAGGCTTCACAGTTAAAACTCGCTTGCTTGGAAACAATGGCGGAGCGGGTGGGGCGGGTGAAAAATGTGAGGCCATCACTAGTGTCGCTAATACAATGGCAGGGTTCGGAAACACTCACTATACACTTTATCCTTCACTATACTAGTGGTCTCCAACCACTGGTTCGTGGGCCATTTGGTACCAGGCCGCACAGGTAAAAATAATATATATATATATATATATATATATACATACATACATATATATATATTTTTTTTTGCAGCTGGGCATATATGAGCCGATTTTGAGGGAACCTTTTATTGAGCTACATAACCAACTAGACATCACTCTATCAAAAGTTGTGTCAAAAAGAACCCAAATTGGGTTACAAAAGGGTTGACCCAACTTTTGGGGTTATTCAGTTAACCGAACCTGGTTACCGGTTTCTTGGTAACTGGAACTCATCAATGTTGGATACTTTTTACCCCTTGATGAATCAAAATCTTGATTCAGTGTGCTGGGTCAAATCCTCAACCCGATGCGCTGGGCATAAATAACCCAACATCGGATGGCGTCTTTTGGAATTTTACATTTAACCAGGCAGATTTAAGATTGTATATAGAAATCGCGATGATTAGGCAGTTCTGAATACGTGAATGATTCCGAACACAGCGAACGTCTAAAAACACACCAGCGCAAGGTGGAGCTAAGATGCAAGGCCGAAGTGAAATGGTTATTTAATGGTGGTTGGGTTGGTGGAGGGGTTCAGGAGGTTTTTAGGCCCCCTCTTCCTCGCCCTCCTCTTCGAACTCGCCCTCCTCGGCGGTGGCATCCTGGTACTGCTGGTACTCGGACACCAGGTCGTTCATGTTGCTCTCGGCCTCGGTGAACTCCATCTCGTCCATGCCCTCGCCCGTGTACCAGTGGAGGAAAGCCTTGCGGCGGAACATGGCGGTGAACTGCTCCGAGATGCGCTTGAATAGCTCCTGGATGGCCGTGCTGTTGCCGATGAAGGTGGCGGCCATCTTGAGGCCGCGCGGCGGGATGTCGCACACGGCCGTCTTCACGTTGTTGGGGATCCATTCCACGAAGTAGCTGCTGTTCTTGTTCTGCACGTTCAGCATCTGCTCGTCCACCTCCTTCATGGACATGCGGCCGCGGAACACGGCGGCGACGGTTAAATAGCGGCCGTGGCGCGGGTCGCACGCCGCCATCATGTTCTTGGCGTCGAACATCTGCTGGGTGAGCTCGGGTACGGAGAGGGCGCGGTACTGTTGGCTCCCCCTGCTGGTGAGGGGGGCGAAACCCGGCATGAAGAAGTGCAGGCGGGGGAAGGGCACCATGTTTACGGCCAGTTTGCGCAGGTCGGCGTTGAGCTGGCCGGGGAAACGCAAGCAGGTCGTGACCCCGCTCATGGTGGCCGACACCAGGTGGTTGAGATCTCCGTAAGTGGGCGTGGTCAACTTCAGCGTGCGGAAGCAGATGTCGTACAGAGCCTCGTTGTCAATGCAGTACGTCTCGTCCGTGTTCTCCACCAGCTGGTGCACCGACAGAGTGGCGTTGTATGGCTCCACCACCGTGTCGGACACCTTGGGCGACGGCACCACGCTGAAGGTGTTCATGATGCGGTCTGGGTATTCTTCGCGGATCTTGCTGATGAGCAGCGTGCCCATCCCGGAGCCGGTGCCGCCGCCCAGGGAGTGCGTGAGCTGAAAGCCCTGCAGGCAGTCGCAGCTCTCCGCCTCCTTCCTCACCACGTCCAAGACCGAGTCTACTAGCTCGGCTCCCTCCGTGTAGTGGCCCTTGGCCCAGTTGTTGCCGGCTCCGCTCTGACCTGGAAAAGAACACGCACGCATTCAAGGATTTTTCTATTTGGTCATGTGAGATTTCTAGAGACCTCCAAATGTCTCATTAAAAATTATGAAAAAAAAATCAGTCCACAAATGAGGAGAACTCCATGACTGGCTTTGTCAAACCTAACCCTACCAAAGAGGACTTTGTGACGGTGACTTACCAAAGACAAAGTTGTCAGGTCTGAAGATCTGACCGAAGGGACCAGATCTGACAGAATCCATGGTCCCAGGCTCCAGATCCACCAGGATGGCACGGGGAACATACTTCCCACCTGGGGAAAAAAAGAATAACCATTTATGAAGGGAAATGACAGTATATTGGGAGAAGCCGGAAGTCTCAGCAACAACTTGGTGCCTGTGTGCCTCTAAGGGGTGTGGTCTCGGGAGTGATGTCAGGAATATGACTCCAGATCGGAGTTTTTTTGGGCTTCACGCAGCTCCTTGCGTGTGCTCTCATTTTGTCGTTTGTATGTTGCATGAGAGCAGAGAATGGCAGTTCAAAATGTCTTTGTGAGGTGAAAAATTACGACCAACGTCGTCTACACAAACACCTTGATTAATTATTGATCAACGGGTGCATTTCAGGGCTTTTTGTCTGTGTCCTTTATCATTTATTCAAGAAAAAACCCCAAAAAAAAAAAAAAAAAAAAAAAAAGAAGCCGAGTTTACCCGTGGCCTCGTTGTAGTAGACGCTGATCCTGTCCAGCTGCAGGTCGCTATCGCCATGATACGTTCCGGTGGGATCGATGCCGTGCTCGTCACTGATCACCTCCCAGAACTGCGAGGGGAAACAAAAAAAAAAAAAACAACAGATGACGATGCATCTGAAGAATTAATGTGCTCAAAAGAAAGAATGAGAGATGAAGCTCGAAATTGTGCAAATCTGTGTTAATTCACAGTTTGATTTTCCATTCACTGCATTGCATAAATATATTGACATGCCATCCAGAAAGAAGCAGCAGCATCTTGTACGTTTTAACGTGCAATGAAAATATATAAAAATAAACCGTGTGTGTGTGTGTGTGTGTGTGTGTGTGTGCGTGTGTGTTCAAGTCTGCGTGATTTAAATACAAAAGATTTAGCGGAGTACAACGAGGTAGTAAATGGGGGGGGGGGGCGAGGGGCACTCCACCCTGTGATTGACAAAACCGGCCCTGCAAAAAAATGCTTTTTTCGGCCCTGCAAAAAAATGTTTTTTTTTTTTTTTTTGATCAAGCAAAATGATGCGGGGTGGTGGGGGAGGAGGGTCATTCAGGTGCAAAATGCATGAAAAATCTTCCTTCTGGAACATTCTGAGAGGATGGGTTCGCCATCGGCTGGGGCGCTTCTGCAAATGAATGAAGGCACGCACGTACTAATCTGTGCACGTACAAAAATAGCCTTAAACGTGACAGCAGGAAGATTACCTTAGCGCCGATCTGGTTCCCACACTGGCCGGCTTGCAGGTGCACAATTTCACGCATTTTTGGATGCGGATGAGGGACGTGGATGGTTCGAGAAGAAGAAGGAGACGGAGAGAAGCGACGATGGCTCCTGCTGCACAAACGACGGCTGTTTCTCTGACGAGATTGGATGCGCCTCCTCCCTTTCCGAACGCTTCTACTGGACTGAAGCGGTGGTGCAAGCTGACGTCATCGTCATGGCAACCAAAGAGCGGGCGACAAGGGGGCGGGGCCGAGGAAGTGCAAAATCGAGTGCGACGCTGTGAGATGCGTTCGTTGTCTTCTCACGCACTCTACCAACGCCATCTTTTTTCACCCTTTCTTGTTGTTTTATATCATTTCTAACAATTTGTTTGATGTGGTTAAATCAGCCAGTGGTTGCTTTGCAAGGAAAACAGCTGCATTGAGTTTTTTTGGATGCAACGATTAGCTTTAACGGTACATCTGATAAGCAGCACTTACTTGATGGCACTGTCAAGTTGTGAATTTTTTTTTTCTCGCTACATGTGTCCAGGCGCCACATCCGCATATTATAGTGTGTGAACTACTGCCGCCAAAAGTTGAAAGGCTTTGATTGTCTTTGTCGGGTCTCAATTTTTCTCCATACTGGCCTTTGCTTTCTGCCCAATGTCAGACCTTCTAAATAAAAGCTCACAGAATAACAAGTTACACAGTTTCACCACACTTTGGCTACTTGTTGGCTTATTTAGCAGTAGCACTCAAAAAACAAGCACAAAATAGTTTGGGGGTGACTGCTGAATGTCAAAGTGTCCAAAAAAAGTGAAGTGAAACTTTTATTTACAATGGTATGCTTTAATTTTGAAGGCTTGACTTTTCACAAGCTATGTTACGCCAATCTCACCTCAACTAGTCTGAGTGTTGCAGACTAGAAGGCTTGTTATTGCTTTGAGTTGATAATGGGGAATGTCAAGTCAAAAATGTTCTTTACCATATGTTCTGTGCGCCCCCAACATTCTAAACACGTTGTTCTGATTAATATTGTGTTTGTGGAATATGGCGGCCATTTTGCTAGTTGCTCTCGACTGAAAATGATAAGGCTTGGTGGATTTTGGTGCTTAATTCATATTACACAAACTAAATATTAATTAGAATTCCGTGTTTGGACTATTTGACTGTCCTCAGTTGGGAGTCATCACTGCCTTTTCTATTTAATCACAAAACTTCGTTAAAAAAAATAACAAAAATTGTGTTCGCCCGCTCTGGTTCTCAGTGGTTCTCTTAGCAACCAAACATTTGTTTTGCAAGTGACTGTAATGAATTAAAAAGGGTGAATAATTGCTAAAGTGGTGTGTCGGTTCTGCAAACAGCAACAAGACGACGCCTGAAAGCATTGACATCCTGCATGATTGCATTCCTCCGTTGTGCAAAGTAACCAGCCAGCAACCGGCCAA